AAAGGCCCTGGTCGTTGCGCCGGACGAATGGCGGCATTCGTCCGGCGCAGTGCCCCCGACCTCTTCAGTCCATTAAATAGTTTAAATACCAGGTTATAAACTGATCACCCCTAATGGGAGTCAAGTTTTATTAATTTTAAGAACTAAGTTCACTCAACCGTGACGAATTTTTTTTTTTTTGACACAAACTAGACCTCAGTTACTTGTATGACCCAAATATGGCGTCTCTACCTATTCCCGAGTTAATCGATACTCGGGAGACAGCATTGTGATTGAGAAATAATACTGCGTCTGATTTGTCTTATTCGTCTGCCATTTCCCGGACTGTACAAAAAACATTTAAAGGTGGGTTACTTATGACGGAAAATATTTTTGATAAATTTGATTTTATATATTTTTTCAAAATGTTTTAGTATATACATCAAGTCGTCCTGGTTTTCTATTTATGAATTTTCAAAAACTGCCTTCAGCGAAAATCGGAGCCGCCTTTGATGACGTGCTGGAGATTAGTAGCACATGGTAGAAATTACATGGTCCATTTCGCGTTCAGCGAAGTTCAGTATCAAGTGACGTGAAATGTGTACTTTATATACCGATGTCTATCGAATTGAGAATTAGTTCATAATTATTTGGCTGTAAATGCATTTTTTATCTTTTTTTTTTTCAATTTTGAAATTTAATTTGAGGCTAGTTAACGAGATATGGAAATTTTTATCTTGCTCACTTTGATAAGCGAGTTTGGCAATACACGAAGAAATTTTTAATTTTCGATTCTAAATTAGAAGCATATCCTATCGTATCCTCGTCTTCCCACAAGATTACTCAGTTCTATAAAATTTCAACATGTATGAGTATCACCTTCTACTAATTTCCAAATAATCATTGTTCTACCCACATGTGACATCATTTTGTCGTATTAGTGCACCACATTCTCACTTTATGAAGGAATAATAACAAACACACAACAATTTTCTTAGGCAATGGTGCGTCAAAATCATTTGTTTCAGATTATTTCGGAAATAGATCAAATAGGCCTACGACAATTTTCCGTCAGACAAGATTCATTGTTTGGCTGTGCTGACAATGTAACAGTACAATATTAGCACAGTTTCTGTGGGAAAAAGTTCAAATTAATGTGCAAGTGGTCTGTGTTATTTGGGTACACATTTTAAACTCAGGTATTATCGTAGCTTCGAGCAGCGATAGGAGCCAGCATGACACTTCGGTACCTACAAAGATTTGTGGTTATGGCCATGGGTATAGTTTTTTAAGTTTTTTGTGGATGTAGGAATTCTCATTTTGAATTGGCTTACAATATTATAACATTCATGTTGATTTGATAAACTTTGCCTTACTTTAAACAAAGAATACTACTGAGTCTGTGAAATTGAAATAAATTTATACTTGATTGCTGCCATATTACCACTCCAACAAAAACAAAATATTTACAAAACAGAAAAGATGTAAAAAGAGCTGTGAATAAAGCTGCCAGCCGTATTTCTCAAATGTCAAACAAATGTACTATTTCATCAGTTTTTTCATCATCAACAAATTTTAGTTAATACATAAAATGTCGACTACGCCTGAAGAGCGTTTCAATTCTGAAGAGAGAGTGAAAGATATTAAGTTAATATACACTAAACAGAGGGCATATAGGAATGAAGACGACGTGAATAATGGCGATATTATTATCAAAATATCGGGAGTGGCTTGCACAGATTCTGAAGAAATAAGACATGATCCAGAAAATTTGTCAAATTCATCGAAGAATTGTAGCGCTACCAAAGTTGCAAATATAAATCAAAGCGAAACTGATGGAAGTTCAGAAAGTAAGATTTAACTGAATATCTAATTGGTCTGAGAGATGTTGTTTAGGAGGATAACGCCTGAATTAACGTGGTTGCACATTCCCTCAAATCGAGCATGTATCATTTATATTTGACAACAGTGATTACACTGTACTTATAGGCCTATATACACCTAAATACGAATTTCGGCACAACTAAATGTTACAGGAAAGGATTGGTTTGATTGCCACAAAATATTCCTGATAATCATGTATAAAATATCGGGAGGGACAATTCGCAAGAACAGTTTTACGTCGGAAGATCAGAATAATACTTCGTGAGATCTAAATGGACGTACCGCTTATTTGTTCATTTTTTTTTCGTGAAAAAGTGGAGGCCAGTTACCAATATAAAGCTCAAATAATCGTCAATCGCATTTGGTCGCCTAATCGACCTCATGTAGCCGAACCTATATCGTTTTTGTGTCACAGAATTTGAATGCAGATGTTGTAATTTAGCAGTCTCCCGTGCTCTAATACGGTATTTTGTACCTCAACTAGCGGGTATTTCGGACAAACAACCCGAAAGTAACTTCCATATTGATCATTGTATTTTATTTTGTTACTCAAGATTTAAAATCGGAGCTTTCGGCAGGATCAAAAATGGCTGTACTGATCGGATTTGTCTTATTGTCAGCCCTTGTTATTGCTGGGCTCATAACATCAATAGTCTTCATGAATAACTTGAAAACTTCAAGACAAACTCAAGACAGAGGTGATTTTTACATTCGTTCAGCCTTTGCGACTTGCTAATAATACGACGGTAACAAAATGACTCGCAACAGTTAGTGAAATTTCGGGCCACTAATCTAGTACTTAAAGCCACAAAATTGATTTCTCGGTAGGAAGTTAACGGTGCCACATTTACATTAATTTCTGGATTCATTTCTGCTCAAAAATATGGACACGGAAGTCGAATAAGTACCGTGCGCCAAAGAGACTAACTTAGGATGAAATTATCCTATTTTCAACGCCGTTCTTTCAGACACTCGATCGTTCACAGAAAATATATTATACTGCTTGTTTGATGTATGTAATATCGTGTAACGAAGAAGCGTTCAGTAAGACATTTATCTGGCCCATGCAACGTCATTGAGACATCATTTGGTACTTACCTTTTTTTTAAATAAATTTGTCACATTTTAGACAAGATTTTTATCCGATGTTAGGAAGTTTGTCGAAACCGCCTTCCTACTTTGTTGTCATATTCGTGATTCCCAACGTGTATTTTATTCCGTTGCTCTGTTTAAATTCTATAAAGTTTGAAAAATGAGGCTGACGGATTAATAGTCCACCTTGAATAAAATTTCACAGATGATTTCTGCGAATACAGATCTAATCGGAAGTTATGTTACTCCGTGGTTATACATCCCACTTTGAATGTAAACTACACGAGCGCAGAAGAAATATGCAAAGTCCTTGACTCAAAAATTGGAATAATATTCAACGAGAAGATATATTTTGGAGTAATCAATATGCTTCGATCTAAAATTCCGCCTGGGAAAAGTTTGGTATATGCATGGATTGGAATGAAAATTAATTCAAGAGTATGCTTTTTTCATGTATAAGCAAATGATACATTCTTAACTTTCAATAAACAGATGAAATTTAGAGTCATAATATAGCATACCGTATCGACGCTCAAGAGATCACCGAACAGCATTTACAGAATACGGGTCTAAAACTGGAAACCTTTTATATCAAGAAAAAATATTATCATGAGAATTTTCTTAAAGCAATGTCGCGCACACTCAGAAGTTGAGGGGACTTACCTCCGCGAAGTTTCTATGATACTTTCTCTAATAAGCAATTTACTTTATTTTGTTTAAAACGATATATTTTGTTCGCATTTAGACTGGTGATGTCGTTTTCCCAGAAACAAATGTTTTCGTCGAATGGAAAGGAACGTCGCCAAGCACGGGAGACCACGTTTCTACCTTCTCTAGCATTTATCTTACTGTGGTGAGAAACGTTTCTTATGCCCAAGACGGAATGGTGAATGGTCCTTCAAGATACAAGTGGAATGGCGTTGTTTGTCAAAGGAAAAATGAAGACATTACTTAGAAATTTAGTTTCGAAATATGTAAAATAGATATTATCGAAGTAACAAGAACAGCGAATTGATTTACTATGTCGGTCTTGGGGCTATGAATAGGATTATGACACAGTAAAATGGATCCCTTCGTTCCTTGAACATAAACTATATTTTGGTTATATGTAGCTTACCCGAGCCACTTATTCTATCTTGTATCATTTGCACAGCAACACCTTTCCATTGTGACGCAATTGTCACGTGTTTTAACATGGGCGCCCACAATTCTTCACTGGTAAAGTCTACAGCGCAATATATATATGGCTTATTTGAAAGGACAAGTTATCCAGTTACCGACCGAAAGAGTTTGTTTCATTGACTTGCGATACATAAACTGCATCGGTGTGGCGTGGACTTCATCGTTAAGAGCAACGCCCCCTTATACGGACTGCGCCTCTCCTAAGAGAGAAAATTCTATGACGTTCGTACAAAGAACGTTTTGCATATATTTATGTTTTTTGGTTTTATAGCTTTTCAGGTTGAAACTCTTTATATCACTCTCCTCGTTCTAGAGAAGGACTATGTCGCTTATAAAAATATTATGTAACTTCTTAAAAGGCTATTCCGTATCTCATACATAAAATAACCTGGAAATGGGTAGGATAGCAACAAAACGGATCAAGAATCGCATGCGAAATACCACCACATGAAATTGCGTAAAAAGAAAAGTTTAATTTCGCTCTGGTGATCATATCATCTGAAATGCCGCCATAAGTTGGCCGTTATTTCCTTGATGACATAGCGAAATGTTTCTTGTCGATTGCCGTTCGCAGTACGCCAGACAAACAATCGAATCATATAGTCGTCACATGTTAAGTGCTAAATTACTCAGCATTTTGTGGTGCCGTAGGAAAAGGGAAACATCAAGCATGTATTTACAATGTGGCTTTCGGGCATGACAAGAAGAACGACAAACAACTGTCTCGGGTAAATATTTAATCTTTTCTGTTCTACTTTGCTGCAAGTAAAGTATGTGAATGCATAACCTAATTTGTGCATATTTGCTTGATTGCTTCGTGCGCAATCCAATTGCGTTTTAGGACTCCTTTGTATGAATGCAGTTCATATAATATTAGTTGAGGAAAGGTACAAGGGCAAGCAAGTCGTTAAATTTATCGTAATTCGTCAGTGACAAATTGCAATATGGCCGTCACAATTGAACTGAAATTTAAAAAAATCTGCGATGGTCTCGACGGATCTGAGGGGCCTGTCTTCAATACAAAGGGAGACTTCTACGCGGTGGCACCGATGCCAACTTTGGAAGATGGAAGGTAAGCATTATTTGTTAGTGAAAATTAGTCATATAAATAGAATTCTTGCCCGCATAAATACCTGAACATGAAAGTAGAGTATCTACGTTTCAAGCGCAGCTAGCTTACTTCTGTATTTTTGCCCCAGGGTCGAAGAAGCATCTCAGTTTTTGGACAAGATTGCCGGAAATTTACATAAAGTAAATTTATATACTGGTGAACATGAGGTCGTATGCACTCCTCAATTTGAAGGATATGGTGGAAGGCCCGCCGGGTGCCAATCCGACAAAAATGGGAATATTTGGATAGCTGATATGAGACTCGGAATACTAAAGTATTCACCCGAAGACGGCAAATGCCAACAAGTAAGTCGTCCGTTGACTTTGAAAACAGTAAGCGTATACAAGGTAATATTGTCATTGATGTTTCCGCAGTTGAGCAAAGTCGACAGCTCGGGGAATGCCCTAAATGGTTGTAATGATCTCGTTTTTGATAAAGATGGAAACCTTTGGGTAACAGGTCCCGGGAGTCCAATTGCACCTTCAGCCGAAGACAGAACATTAATATTTCAGGTATATATATAACACTTTTTGGGATACTATTTATATTGAAATGTACAGGCGTGTGCTCATATTATAACATTTTAATAATACGGCAGAGCTTCAAAAAATCATATATTCAGAATCGTGACTAATTTTTTCTGTTACTGGTGACATTTTGAATATTTAGAATTATATTTTATTGAATTTTATTCAAGAAACCTTCCGGCCGTTTATACTTTCTTGAAAATGGTAACACAATTCCAGTTGCAATGGATGAAACATTTAGGTTTTGTAATGGTATTGCTATCCGCGACAATTTGCTGCTTGTTGCTGAGACAATGACCAGAAGCATTATTGCATTTGATGTGGTCTCGTCGGGTAAATTATCTAACAGAAGGGTTTGGGCAACGTTACCAAAAGGTATGTGTAATTTCTTATCTAGTCTCTGAAACAAGGGTTCGTGTAGCCTGGACTATTTCCACCCTTATAAATGTTAAGTACAAATTTATTCTTGTGAATAATGAATTATGTCAGATGTAGTAAAATTTGATAGAACATCAACCCTGACTACAGTGGCCATTTTAAAAGTTTTATTTGATATATTTGAAAACGCTATCCACCTAAGAATGATTTTAATAATAAATATGTAGCAAGAGTGGAATACAGAATTCACGAATCCAAATAAAATTATCAAATATTGCTGTTTTAGCTGATTACGACAATCCAATGAATGTTGGGGGACCAGATGGAATGGATTTTGATGTCAATGGAAATTTACTTGTAGCACACCACGGAGGTGGTCATCTGGAAGTATTTTCAGCAAACGGAGTTTTGAAAACCAGAATTAAATGCCCGTTCAAACAACCAAGTAACTTACATTTCAAGCCTGCTTCTCGAATCTGCTATGTTACTGAACATGACTTTAACGGAGTTTGGGAGTTCGAGTGGGAATGCGAGGGAATGCCCATGTATCACTTCACAAGTCAATGACCTGGTTTTTGTCTTTCACATATCGTGTTTATCGTTAAGTTATTTGCAACAAAACCCAATAACTTGTTGGCATTAACTTGCTAAAGACATTTAGAGGCTCTATTGGCAGGAAAGACTTTGGTGTCCTATATATAATATATAATAACAGGAATGTAACAAGTATTTCATGTTGCCTGAAATTGAAAGTAAGTTTTAGTATTAATTACTCATTCAAGGCCAAATCATGATTAATTTTCATATTTTTCAAAAATATTTCTCATGCCTATAAACATCTAGGACATTGGTGTCCTGAGCACGCACTTCTTTTGCTTAGTGGTTAAATTGGCGCTGACTACAGCATCCTTGATTTATTATACGCCTACAACTGAATACAGTCTAGATATTAACCCAACCTGATACCTTAAGTGAAATCGAATATTAATGATATTGAAGTTACGGTGAAATGCTATTTAAACGTTTTAGGACTTGCGATTTTTAACAGTATTACTGTTAATACAGTAATATTAGCCAGTATTACTGTTAAAAAAAGGTCAGTTGATGAATATTTTAAGTAGCATTTCACCGTAAGTTCAAAGAGTAACGGTTAAATGCCATTTGAACGTTGAACGACTGGCTTTTTTTTAACAGTATTACTGTTAAAAACGGTCAGTCATTACATATTTTTCACCGTAACTTTAAAGAGTAACGGTGAAATGCCACTTAAACGTTGAACGGCTGGCTTTTTTAACAGCAATACTGTTAAAACCGGTCAGTCGTTTAACGATTAAATGGCATTCCACTGTAAGTTTAATACTTCGTTCGAAAAATGTCAATTGTCACTTAATCGGATATTTGTTTTTTATACATACCAGTATTTAAAACTGGAGTAGTGCACCGTTACTTCAATATTCCTAATGGCTAAATACCGATTCCGGGACAGTATAACCTGTCCAGGGCCGGATCATGCTTTTCCAGTTTAGAGGCCAGGTTTTCTTGGTGTCCTAAGCACGTGATTATTTTGCTCCAGCTCTGCTAATAAGAAGTAAGCACCTCAACTTTTATTATAACTGCAGCACACCACTGTAAAAATTGAGATGCTTATTAGGACACTGCGAGTGATAAATTAAAATTTTAAAGGTGTCGCCTGTTACAAAAGCTATCTACGCCGTCCTTGTACTACAGCTAGAGTTCTAACAATTACTGACTGTACTCGTATTACATCTTACTATCTTATTTAATCGACGTGAAATCGTAAACAAATTAGCCTAAATAAATACCAACAAAAATGTTTTTTTTTAGCGTGTAGTGTCGAAATCATAAGTGGAAATATTTCATGTGATTTTGTGTGTTTCGTGCATGCATTATGAAATACATAAAATTTTGATGAATAAATTCTATATTATTTCAATTAAATGTCCCCATATGACGTTGTATCTACAGCTTTCGCGCCAGTGGTCTTTTACCTTTATATATCACATCATCACAGTCGATATCAGGAATATATGAATTCAGACCCCACCCATTACACTTTTGCATGTACCGGTACATTAAAAAAATTTTTCTCCCAATCCTAAAATCCCATTATATAATCTTACAGACGATTTACTTCCAATTAGTTGAGTAATTCGGTTTCACATGCTAAAACGGTGTAGCGAATGTGGATTGTAACTCTGGCTTTTAATGTTATTTAGACCCTTCATATTAATAATTTGTTGAATTCAATGAAATAGGTCATTTTCGCTATTTCCCTGATTATGAGTGATCGCGACAGCTTCAAACATTAGCTTTGTGTGTATAGCCTTCTTTTGTATCGTGCGGGAGTCGAAATATAGCGTTCTCCTATGATACTTACTGCTTTCGGATTCGCCCGTATAACTGCTTTATAGGTTATGTGTATATTTCAATATATCTGTATTTTGATTCAATTGGATCGTGCACATATATAAACCAACATTTGGCATTACAATACATTGCGTCTTTATTGACTTGTGAGGAGCTCAGATTGGAGTTATACTCAATTAAACGTATGTGAAGCCAATAACACGTGAGTGCAAACGCGCAGATAGGGCAAACAATCCCCTATTACGGAATACGTCCCATATAAATAAATACTTGCACCCAACAGCGATTGCATTATAAAGATAATCTTGCTTAATATATTCAATGAGGAAGTGATTTTAAATAGCTGAATACGTAACCTCGGAGTCGGATGTCACTTCGTCACACACCTGAGAATTTGGGTTTGTGTTTAACACCTAAATAGGATAGGATTTACAAACCCCGGAGGAGAGGAAAGTCGCTAAGACGGCTTAAATAAAAATGCAATTTTCATCAGGGCGCTTAAACAGATTGCTTTGGCGAATTTTGTGTATACCAAAGTTACACTCGACAAGCGCCAACTATTGTCGTTTGACATTGAGGCTGCTTTGCCTAACAGATCACTGTTTTATGAATTTCTAAATATATTTGTCCCAGGATATTTGCCGAACGTTATCGCCGTTGCTAAGTAAATGCCCGTTGACAATGTCTCCTAATATTTTTTCTGACTCATTTTGTTAATCATTACAAGACGAATAGATAAACGCGCCATTTTCCAGTGAACGTATCATTTTTGGAGAGAATACGTCTTTTCGAGTGCATTCTAAAGCTAGCTTAGCTCTGTGCTGAGTCGACGGCGATGGCGTCGATGGAAAATTTACTCAAGATTGACAAAAAGGATCATGCTTACGAAGTTCTTCGAAATTTAAACAGGTAAATAAATTGCTTTATCATATTAATTGCAGCTGTTGATTCCTGATCCGGGGTGTTCCACCTATGATACCGACAACCTTGAACCTTCCTGTCCCAACCGTTGACAATTCTTGGCAACCGTTGTTGATGCCCAATGAGAATTACGGTGAAAATTATGACTGTGACGTTATTAGCACAACCCTAGCTAAAACTATGCTGTCTTGCTAAAATAATGCTGTTTGTGTCACGTACTGAATATGTATTTGTTATTGTATGGTTCCATTACTTGACGTACATTTAAGATTGTCTCTAGTTGACACATATCATTCTGAAATGACATTTGCAGAATTGAATTGCCCAAGATTAGATATATATGAGAATACAAATCACAACATTGCAATCAACGCATGTGTACGAAACATTGACTAGCATCAAATGACAATCATTTTGAGGCGTGGTGGCCATGATTCAACAAATAGAAATCACGTGATCAACTTTTCCCTTTTGTCGTGTTGGCGCTGGCCGGTAATTATATGATGTTTGTGCAGCGTATCTTGCACGCGCTATTACCACTGAAGGGTTGAAGCGTGTGGTAATCAGAGTACACTTTCAATTCATGCTTACTAAATAACCGTATCTTGCCACGAAACCTTCACATTTGTTAATAATTAATTTTGATCACAAACACTTATCGATCTTGTTATTTATCGATATTGATCGGTAAGTATGTTGATAGGTATTTGTCTGTCTGTCTGTTAGACACTTTCGTATGTTACGCGATATCTCACGAAAGCGAAGTTGAATATGCTCCAAATTTTTCATGTGGAATTATCATATCTCGGACCAGAAGCTTATTGATTTTGAATTATGTCGTATAATTAGCGAGTTATTGATTAATTAGTGATAGGACACGCAGTGTCGCACTTGAGTCAGAGCGAAGGATACACGCCGCCAGATCCATAAGTCGGCGGTCTCTGATCGCTACCTCGTTATATTAATAAAATGATTGCATCTAACATTCAGGGAAGTATATATATAGTGATTCCTTTCACTGTGGAGTCAAACATTATTTATTCAACAGCTACAGAAAAGAGAAAAAACATTGTGACTTTCTAATCAAAGCGGGGTCCGAGGAAATTCCAGCTCACAGGAATGTTTTGTCGGCATGCTCTGACTATTTCAGGGGGATGTTATCCCATGAGGTAAATTAGTAATTCCATTTGCAAAAATTGTAACTTAATCTGTCTCAGTCACAAGGTGAAACCAGAATCAAGTAATTCAATATCCTGTAATGAAGGGTAAAGGCGCGTCATAATAATGGTTTGGAACAAACATAAGACAAAAATATAATTAATTAAAGAAAGAGGCAAACTACCCCTGAAGAGCTTTATTTTAAATGTTATCAAAAAATTAATTATTGAAGTTCGTTCACTCTGATTTGCTAATAAATGAAAATGAGCAGTGTTGGCTACGATGGATATAGCCATTCATTTTATGATTGGTTTCCATTTTCTGCCATCTGTTTTTGCTTCATTTTTGCTGCAAAAGTATTAAATAAAATTTTAATTCAAAACTTTCTTATTCTAGACTAAAGAAAATGAGTCTGGAGTTGTGACAATTAAGAAAGCAGACCCCACATGTGTAAAGAGATGCATCAATTTCATCTACACCGGAGAAGCGTCCGTTGAAGGGGTAGCACATGCAGACTTGATGCATGTAGCTCATTTAATGCAACTTCAAAGTAAATACTAATTTTCATAGTCATACAACATTATAGCAATTTTTTTTTATTTGAGTACCACAGCACAGTGAGTAAGTATTTTGCAAAAAGTTGATCAATTTTCCACATTATGAAACTCTGAAAATATGTTTTGTAATATATATACAGTAACTAGAGCTAACGATTCTGTTTTAGAAGATAAGCTTATGTTTGATTCAAATATACTGGATATGGTCAATTGACATTTATGGCGGACTCTCATTTTTAAAAAATCTGTGAAGTTATTTAAATTGAGAAATACAGAATGCAAGACTTTAAATTGCATGAAATTGTTTTTGTTTCATATTTCAATTGGTAAATAATTATGTTTCACAGGGTTGTGTGATGGAGTTACTCTTTCTCTCGAGGAAGAACTCAACGCTGAATCCTTTTTTCTGACGAAGCAAATTGCAAACACTTTCTTTATCAAGCATTTAGAAGAAGTATGTGAGAGATATGCACAAGAAAACTTTCGATTGATTTCACTGGAAGATGGTTTTAAATACCTGGAAAAAGATTATGTTTCATTCTTGATCAAATCAAAATCCACCCAGGTATATTAGCAAATTTTATATGAGACAGAAAGGGAATGTTCATTATACATGGGTTGATGGAAGCAAGCCTTGCCCCATGTTTCTAATATCATGTTGGGTAAGGTATTGAACTATTATCAGACTCAATTTGTTCCTTCCGATGAATGGCATTACTGATAAAAAAAAGCTAACGTTTTCTTGAACCATCACACACCTCGTTAAGACTCTCACACCTGATCATCTGCCAGAGAATTCAGAGATCTATAACATATTATGTTATATAATAATATTTCAACTTTCAGCCTGAAACATGTAATCCTTGAAGACATACTTTTTAGGGCAGTTTTGTGTAAACTTTTTTCGGTACTCCCGAAGTATGTGAACCAAGATTGTGGACACCGGAACGTAGTATGTGTACCAGATTAGGGTTAGGCCATATTCGGGAGTACCCTTTTTTCGCCAATTTCATTTATTTATCCATTGCCATCCAATTGCAAGAAAATTTTTTGAATAATTTACCAAATTTAATTTTTAAGGCATCTGAGTCTGCAAAGTGCAAAGCATTAATTATTTGGGCTAGTGTTGATTTGGAATCACGTAGCAAGTGCTTCGAAGATGTTCTCGGTCATCTGGATCTTCTGAAAATTCCTTTGGGATATCGTCGGTATTTGGTGGAAAAAGAAGTTGGTATCGTTTTCTCGTAATTTGTGCTTGCGTGATATTTTTTTTTACTGGTTGGAAAAAATAAACTTGACTTGGTAATTATTTCAATTTGCTACCACATTTAAATTCATTCAATATTAACTTAGATTTCTTTTCTCAATTTTATTTTCAAGCCTCTTGTGTTTCTATCCAATCCATGCCTGAAAGCTTTTTTGATATCCATCATGGACAAGGCTAATGTTTTTGCCAAGGATTTCACTATACAAGGTAATCATCTTTTTAGCCTTTTTTATAAGGTCATACCTTGTTTAAATCATTCATATTATTTCTAACATATATCTATCTATTATCTAACATATTGTATTTTGATTTATGACGAAAATAAGCACTGTTACTAAATTGACTAGTGTTAGTTTAGTCATGCTAAAATGTCTTGAAATCAATCCATTCTTGTTTTCAATTTTCAGATGATGGAATTAGCAATGGTAAGTGTTGATTATTTATATTTACCATTCAGTGCAGTAGAATTTTATTTTTTCTAATATCCTAAGCGTGGTTGTGGAATTGTCTCGTGGGTAACCAATCAGGAGTGTGAAAAGTTTATACCCATTTATTATATTTCTATACTATCTAACTTGTACATTTATCTATTTTCTTTGATCATATAAAATTATTGTTCCCAAGAAGTTAATCGATTACTTTTGTAAAATTAACTTTAATTTTTCGTGCTACACCTATTTCCACTTAAAAATATCTACCATCCTAACACAACTTCTGAACACGCCTCTCGTCTCATAGTTTTATTAATAAAATGTTACTGTTAAATTGTAGAAGTTGATGTCAAGATGCGAACATTGATTGAGAAAAAAACCATTACTCTGTATGAATATACTTCATCAACTTCTGTTTATGATTACGATTGAACATCAGATCATTCTTGACATAGTCAACAATCAATTAGTGAACTTATCATATTGGTTCAATTTTTCAGCAATCTCTGTCTTTGATAAAGCTACAAGAGCAGTACAAGTGTTTGAACCAGAACAGAGAAGATGGACTCGTATGCAGGTAGAATTCCTAAATCCTATTCTTACTGAGAATGCTTCATTGTAATAATAGAGTTACACATATAAGTTCAAACAATACAGTAAAACTAATCCCATACCCGACTTGGAACGGTAACCGGACGAGAGGCCGTGGTTCGCCATATGGATAAGCTGTCTTATCGGCTTTTCTCTCCCCCGGGATAAAAATATATGTAAATCCTATCCTTGATATAAATTCTTCACATAGGGCAAACGAAATCCACCCAATGTTATCAATATATACCCAATTTTATTCACAAAGATACCAACGAAGCCTTTTTACTCTGAATGTTATGTAGATATTTATTTTTCATGATCGCATGTCGCTGTATTATAAATATGAAAAATGAACATCTAATAAGCAGGTGTAATAATTTGTTTGTATTATTCCTACCCTCATGATGTTTACCTTCTTGTTAAGAACATTCCTGATGAAATAGTGAACAAGCAATTTACTGCAGTCCAGCTTGGTGGTCACATATATATTTTAATGACCGATAAAACTGGACATCGATTGAACTATTCTGATCGTGCTGCAACCTGGACACGCGTAGCAGACAGAACGCATACGAGTAAGGTGGAAGCCGTTGTTGTAGATGGTAAGTGTATCAAAATAAAATAACTATCTTAGAAGAGTGGGGAGTTGATAATATGTCGTGATAAAGTCAATAAGGTCAGTTTAGGTGTGGACAAATGAATAAATTACCAAATTGTTTAGTTGTTAGACTGCAGTAATTGAAGTACTCTTAACATGTATTCCCCATAACGGGATTAGTTTTTATGACATGAATCTGAAAATTACCGTATTTTACAAACTATAAGGTGCACTTTGAATCCTTTTTTTCTCAAAAATTGATAAATGTATGAATCAGGTAGTGCTTTATTGTCTACACTCAAAATCAGTACCGGTACTATTGTTTCATAAACAAACAGTCTTTGAATAAAATAATCATTAAAAAAAATCCTTTTTTTTGTTTAACTAGCTGTGTATGGTGATCCAGACATCCAGTACTCCGGTAAAGGCCGTTGTATTTTATAGCCCAGTCCCCCCTTATATAGGGACAAAATCCCAATCTAAGCAATTTATGACAGTGCGTCTTATGGTAAAATGCGGTATCAATTTACATATTAGCTGCAGCTAACACGAATAAGCAAATAGTATTTTGAACTTAAATTGTTTTTGTAACAACTAAGGTAATAGATTGGTTACACTTACACAACTTCTGAAAGAACAAAAACAATATGTCACCGGTATGCTATTTTTAACATTTCAGCGAGTTATCTCCTTGTTTTTTTATTTCAGGATCGATTTTTGCTTTTGATAGCACTGGAAATGGCAGTAAGGCTGTTGAAAGATTAGATCTTTCGGATGGTTCGTGGACCCATGTTACAGATAGGGAACAACCTTGTCATGAAATTTTTGTTGTGTCAGCCCAAGGTAGGCCTATAGGATATTCTGCAGTACAAAGTACAGCCTAATGTTCGCATTAATCTACAGTATGAGTTTTTAAAGGAACATTATTTTCAAGGTTTGATATACTGTGGCGGAGGTTTCAATGGAAATGTGCTGTCACATTTCTTTAGCTATGATCCAATATCCTCGAATTGGGCAACTCTCACTTCAATGCCAACTGCAAGAAGAGGTGCTGCGGCTGCAGAAATCAATGGCAGGATCTATGCCATGGGTAACAGTTGATGAAGTTGTATGACCTCTTATAATTAAAACAATTTTTATGTAAAGTATCATCAAATATACAATTTGAAATATACCATTAATATTTGATTGCAACCCTGATAGACACTTTGATTAGTTTTCATAGCTTCTGGCACATCTGTAGTATTTGCAAGTTGCGACTACAGTATTAAAATATTCTTGTACTTCTGGTGATTTATTGTGCTTGCCATGAAAGTATTTGAAACACAAGTGCATATTTTGCTTTGCTTCATCTTTGACTTTTAGAATGCCATTGGCGCTAGCGTACCAAGGCATCATGAATCCTTCACCTGTGGTGTAAAATTATTAATCATATTATTTCACAAATTCATAATTACCTTCTGTTCGTCCCTGGCTATTCGTGCTTTCTCAAGACAAGATTGTTGTATTGTTTTATCTTCTTACTTTTTCTTTCACCTGGCAGGTGGCAATGGACTGCGAAGTGTTGAATGCTTCGATATCGAAGGACAATCATGGACGACAATTAGCAATATGAATCATCCAAGATATTTCTTTTCAGCATGTGTGCTCGGGGAAAAAATATTCGTAGTTGGAGGGTCAGAAATACAAACTATAAAATATTTTAAACTATGATGAAAAAATTATTCTATGCTGGATTCCTACAATTCACAGTGTACCGCAACAGTTTTGTGATTTAACATCAATTTTGAACATCCCATTCAAGTTATCCATTTATTTACCTCATCCTCGCTTAATATCGGTACTTACAACAAAACTCCACATTCTAAAACAGCCATTGTGACATCAGAAGCAACTTTTTCTACCAACTTTTTTGGCAAATGCCAACCTATTAGTTTGCATGCCACTGCAAGATCTGTACATTATTGAAGTGTCGTAATAGTAATACTATAAAGTTTGAAAACCCTGGATTTAAATTACCAGTAAATTCTAAATTCATTACAAATTGTTTGTATTGAACCGTCAGATTCAAAAGATTTTGTCTCGGATGGACAACGGCAACAACCATTGGTCCACCGATATGCATGAAGATTATAGCATTCCACCATTTACAAAAAACTCATCCCTGTTCCATTCCAGGCAGCAATCCAACGAGACCATCGAAGTGCTAGATCCATATGAGAATGCATGGAACATTGCAGAAACGATGACCGGGAAGAATATTCACGCAGAAGCAGGAGTTGCAGTTAACATGTTCACTTAGCTAACACGATGTCGGGTCATTAAGTTAAGCGGATGATTTTTAATTTCTATGATTAAGTCAATTTTATTTTATAATCTTGTGGCATTGTATTCAGATACTCAATGAATTTGCCAGCACTGGCTCAATAATGAAATGACATTGTTTAACTACATGTTTGGCTATAATTGACGACTTTTGTAAATAGTTGCTATCAATCTGGTTTGATTTTGAGTTTGAAATCATTAATAAATGATCTGTGATCTCACTCAGGGAGTGTCTATCGTTTGATATTCAGTTGAATAGTTTTTTAGTAGTAGGAAGGGTACTCCCGCCGAATTACCTGAACCAAGATGGCGGACACCAGAACGTAGTATGTGTACCAGGTTAGGCCATAAATTTACTCCAATTTACCTTATTTTAGTTCTATTACGAGTTCGGTGACTCCCCTAGTGTTTGTACCTGAGATTATGGCCTAACCTGGAACACATACTACGTTCCAGTGTTCGCAATTTTGGTTCACATACTTCGGGAGTACCGGAAGAAGAATGTAAGGGAGATATGAATGCAGTGAAGGAATCAGTTGGGATTTTTTTCCGTCAATTTGTTTTGTGACATTGGAAGCAATTGATCTTTCCTGTTGAAAAATAGTGGTATATAGGGTCGAGTAAAAACTGTCTGGAAAGCTCACCAAAATAGTTGCATGACACAAGTTTGATCATGCAGTGCATTCGTAGGATGGAAGAAAAACTGCCCTACCATTTTGTTCTGCTAGCTAATGACATTGAAATACTATTATTTATCGATCATTGGAGATTCAGTCAGAAGAATGTTGACATCAAAACAATTCCAGCTTCATCAACACTGTCACCTGACCAAAGACAGCAATCATAAAGAATGTGCACTACATGCAATCCAACAAAATAGCTAATTATTATTTTTCTCTCTCTCGCTAGAGATAGATATAACCAGTTACCCAAGGAAAAAAATGAGACTTGTTTCATATAAAATAATTGTTATTATAATTGAAACTTATAATATTGTTTATAAACATATTGTAGGAAACACTTTTTTGTACAATGTAAAATTTAAGAATTCTGTTAATTCGAAGAGTAAAATGTGAGCTTAATTAGAATAACAAATTTAAAGTTTGATTTAAATAGATCACATCTCCAGTCAAAAGAAAGCATATTATATGTTTTACACTAATCATTGATAGAACATGCTTTTATACACGGCCATCTGTGGCTCATCTTTGGAAAAGAATATTTAAAAAGAACAAATAAGTCACCTCATTGAAGAGCATGAAAAAGTTTTGGTCATATGGTCTAATTTAGCAGAAAACAATATGTTTTGGAATTCACAAAATTACTGAGACTGATTATCGAACAACTGACCTGTTTTCAAAAAGTTGCGCATGTTCAAATAAAAATCTAAAAAGTGGACACAGTGCAATGGTTTTATTTTTCAGTGCATATGAAATTAAAAATTGAAGCACCAGGGATAAGTGTTTGGTTGTATTACTAAACAAATAGCTTCCAAAAGGAAATATGAGATAACTCTTTTGCTGAGAATAAAATGAGAGTACCAATACCAATACCATAATAGATGAGAGATGTTAGTGCAGTAAAATTTTTCTGTGATTGATTAATTGCAAAGCACATTTAAAGCACAAGTTAAAATATTTTGACATTCATTTCACAACTTATACTGGCGTCGTTTTTTACATACAAATAATAACAATTTTCATACATTGTAACTTGACCATAAATAGCTTGTGCCCAAAATAATCGAATAAAATCACTCCACTGTAGATATCCAACACAATGCTAGACCATAGTGCTGCTTAAATTTTAAGCAATTCGTCCAAATAAAGATAAGAAGAAGACAACTCAAACACATGGCTAGACACAGCGTCTCACCACGTTATCAGTAGATGCTGAGTATGAAAATAATTAATGAGTTAATTACTTGCAGACAGGATGCAATAGACTTGATAATTTATTAATATTTAAAATCTAGACCGTAATTTAGTCTTCTGTTCTCTTCTCACAGTTGTCATGGGTCGTAGATTTTGATTAGGAACCTCTGGAATATCAGAGTTCATTACTTGATGATTGTTTGTCATTCGTATTTCTTGATGATCGGATTCTGATAAATCACTCACAAGTTTGCAATTACCAGCTCGTCGGATGATATTTTTATCCGTTGTAAACGAAACCAAATTGGGGTTAACACTTCCAAACACACCTGATGAAGCTGGATGTAAAGCACCACTATAAACAAGAAGATCATCAATAATAATCGCAAAATCTTTTACTCCTCGTGTAGGCGTCTTTGCGTAATTCCATATTTTTATCATTGAAATTGTCACAGGTTGGTCAAATATCATGAAAACCTTGCATACAACATTTGGAATGATTGGAGATAACCACATATGCTGTGGGTCATATGTATCATTAACCCCATCAATGAGTTTATCTGGTGTTCTGGCATCATCACTAATTCCACTTAATATGTTGATACTTTCTGGAAAAGCAGCAATGTTGTTTTCACCAAGTTGTATTCTTCCGCCAGATTTATCGAACAATTCGATACCATTCAACCCAACATAATATGGATCTGATACAGATTTCAAAATTTGGATTTGAAAAACAAAACCAGTTGGTAAATATGAACTTGAACAAGTTTCATCTTCATTATATGATATAGGAGACCTGCTTGCACTTGATACAACTGTACCACGATCATTTGTTATAAATAAAATATCTTGGGCAAAATCATATTCTGTGTGACCGGGAGCTTTTCTTAAAAGTATCCCCTGAGAGGATGAGATAGCACGTCCATCCAACAAAATATCGATTAATTTAACACCTTTGTAGGTATCATCAACGCTTCTGTTGTAATTCCATACTCGAATTCCTTTGAGCTGTCTAGCTTGTGGAAGACTGATTTCCAAGCAAATATCTGAATCACCAAATGGCAATAATAGCATGCTTTCATCATCTGTAGTTATGTTTTCGCCATTGACAAGATTTTTCAAATCACTTGAAGCTGTATTGATGTCGAGCATTTCGCTAGTAACTTCAATACTTTCATCTTCATCACTCAGCAATTCTATGCCAGTAAGTCCAATTTCATATTCATGCCCCCAATTTGCAAGAAGCTTTAGAGAAATACACTTTACACAAAGACTACTACGATCTTCAATATGAAGATCATTCAGAAGTGAATTATCAAATGCAATTTCTTCATTCTCATTTGGAATACTATCACTCAAACGTCTTCCAGTTTTGGGGCGATCCGTCATTACTAACCATTCCATTGCATCATCCTCATCAGGCATAAAGGTTTTGTCATTTTCACTGATTTTTTCTAAAATTCCTTCATCAGTAGTGAAGAGTATTGTATCGCCAAAATTTTGCATATCTAAAGGAGTGCCTGACGCTTTAGCAATTTGTCCCTGAAAAATTAAATTATCGTCAAGCATAATGTCCACATCCTTTACACCTCTATACGAATGAATTCTTGATTTAGTGTAATTCCATATCCTGATCATAGCAATTTGCAGTCGTTTTTTGAAAGTCATATAAATATAATGATTACTTCCTTCAGTAAACGGTGTTAACCAAGTCCGGAAATCATCCATTGTGCAATAATGTCCGTCAATTAAATTTCCAACGACTCTCGGATCAGCATTGTAACCATCCAAAGTATTTATATCCGAAGGGTCTGCAGAAATTTCACTGATTTCCACTGGGTTACCATCAGAGTCGAAAATTTCAATCCCGTTTAAACCTGTATAATGTACGTCACCCCAAGTCGAACGAATATTAAATGTTAGTCTCAAACCTTGCGGTAAGGTAGGTATTTCAAAGTCTTCAGAAATGAGTGATGGTACTTTATTTGGAACAATATTTTCATTGGCATCAGAATTTTTCAAATTTTTGGAGAAAAATTCGTTTTCAAAATCGATACTGGCTTCTAATCTACCGAGGTGTGAACTATTGAACTGAAGAAGAGATTTTAAATTTTTGTCAAATCTCGACTTTTTTGGACGATTAGTTACTGTATTTGGATCAATTTTTACATCCACCGATTCGTTACCATTGCCGCCTCCATTATTTCCATCTTTCAGATATTTGAGTTTTGGGATTTTCTGCGTATCAAACTCCTCTGCATTCTTTGATTTGCCATCAAATTTACATGCTAACTTACCACGAGGGCTTACTCCCTGTTTACCTCTTTTTGCTGTAGTTAATGGTCTCTTCAAATCAATAGTGAAACCATAGTCAAATATTTTATTGCCACAACCTTTTTCAATATTGCCTTCAAAACAGCATTTTCCATTCTGAAACACTTTGCAAAACTTTATCCCAAGGTTCAAGTTGTCTGATTGTTCATTGTAATTGCACAGTCTTAGCTTTGTTACATCATTCACTGGGGATTCGATATTTATCGTCACTGGAAGTGACTTCGGATAAAGCAAAAGCATATGTTTTGCTTTCACCGTCTTGTCAACACCATCTAGTAAATTTGATATCGAACCGTGAACAATATCTGCATGTGATATGGTAATATTTTCGCTTGAAATTGGGACTATAGCATTTTTATTATCAAATACTTCCAGAGATGTCAGACCAACCTTTTCATCACTGGAATGCCAGTTTGAATGAATATTTATTTGTATAGTACACTTTTGTTGAGGAACAGTGTGTTTTTGAATTTTGGTAGTCGCCATATTACTCTGTGGTGTCTTTTTAATATATGGCTCAGGTGAAACCTTACCCTGATTTTGGCTTTCGGAAGAAATATTCAAACTTGTATTAATTCCTTCAACTAAATCTGGGTCATCACTGACATAGTCATCAGAATCATTTAACGATGCCGCCAACTGTTCAATAATATCTTCCTCATCTGAAGTAAAGTTGTCTGAATAGCTGAGTGACAAATCGGGTTCTCCGAGGCGTAAATCTTCACCTGATTTTGTTTTAATCATTAAAGGAGTCTGACCCCAATATTTTCTTCTTCCCGCACTAGTTGGTGCAGATTGTGTCCGATTTTCATTCATTTGTGCATTTTTTATCCCAGAATGATATGCTAGTGAAGACGTGTTTCTTTCTCTTGAATTTTTATCCTCATAATCAGTTTGGTGATAACTTTTTGAATGTGGCTTTGGTTTGAATTTTGAGGCATTCGCACCATTAACATAAACTGAGAAATTTTTCTCTTTTTCTTGAAGTTTTTCGTGCTGCGGATCTTTGTTTAGGGTTTTCAAATATTGGTTGCGTTTTCCAAGTCTCATTAAATACTCCTCATGGAGTAACTGAGCAGAATCGCCTCTCTCATTATTCGCAGACTTCATGATTTATTCTCCATGTTTAAGGTATCAAACACTCATTAAACTGAAAAAATAAAATATTAAGTTAAATAAAAATATTGCTGTTTCTTACACTAGGTTGGTCTTGACTGAAGGGTTACAATAACTTTATTAGGAGTCAAAGCAGATCGATTCGTCAGTAGGTATATCATATTGTGTAAAAATAGCGGGTACAGAGGTAACAATTTCCAAGTTATATTTTGATTCAAACACTTTCTGATAGTTGTCCATGATTAACCCTACTTTTTCTTATCACATGGACAATCTTTTTGTTTTTAAAAGTGAAAATATAAGCATAGCAAAACTTTGATCTTATTGCTGTATCATGTATATTATTAATGCTTTCAAATATTTATAAGTAGACTAACTCTCAACCATCTATCCATCTGCTATAACCTGCGGATCAGTGACCTGGCTAAGATATTATGTGTGAAAGAAAATAATTTATAATTTAAAACAACATGTATAAGTTTATTTCAACTCCATAATCAGAAGTGGTAGTCCAATAGTCTAGGTGTTCACTCACCTAAAAACCACAGAAATATGGTAGACTAAAATGAAACTTAAAATAAACTATTTGGTAAACATAATGAGAACTAGGAAAAAATAAACAATTTATTCGCCCCACAGTAATAATGATTTTATACCTGCCAAATTGGTCTTGTAAGCAAGAGTGAACAGTAGGATAGGATAGGATTTACATATTTATCCCGGGGGAGAGGAAAGCCGATAAGACGGCTTATCCATATGGCGAACCACGGCCTCTCGTCCGGTTATCATTCCAAGTCAGGTACCGTATGGGATTAGTTATATTGTTTGTTTTCGGAAGCATGGACTTGGTGGTGGAGGAAGCCGTAACCGACCAGCAGTTACTGGGTTACGTGAACCACCCAACGACGGCGAGGAGTCCAGCAATCCTCTCGCACATAACCATCCCTGCATGGAATTCGAACCTGCGAACCCATGTAGAGTAATTAGAGGTGCGGTGGCGAGCGTATTCCTAACGCTTAGCCCATTGAACCACACCGCCGTACCAGTAAAGAAAAGGAGTCATTAAAATGGTATCACCAAGTTTGTAGTCTACAGTGACAATAATAATTGGATCTTTTAATTTCCAGTCTTTCCTATTTTTTTGTAATTTCATCTTTTCTGAAGCAGCACAATGTAATTTACATTGTAAAGTCTAATCGCAAAGTTAGATAGATTTGACAGATTATTTGAATACGCTGGCAGATACTGTACTGTTTCTGTCCAGTTCACCAGTAGCTAATTAGGCCACGGTATACTGTGAGCACAGAAGTATGTATAACGTTAGATATAAGTTACCGGTATGTAGTTGGTACAAAATAAACCTATACAAATACGCAAGAATTTCAAAAAAATCGCTTCACTTCGTCGTAGAAAACGCCAACCAAAATATCAGAAAACAGCAAGTGCTGCATGGAGTCAATTTCCTTCACAGTTGTTCAACATTAAATTGGTTCACACGGGGTCTATATCATATAGAATTATCGTACATTAAAATCATTCTATTTCGAAGATGCTCAAAAATATGTAGACATACGTTTTGAGTGGGATAAGTGTATGTGATCATTTACAAATACTATTGCCGGCAAAAATTAAGTTTCTAATCTTTAGAAAATCTGAAAATAAAGTATATTTTGATTCCATAATCAACATAACATCCAAAGAAATATTTATTGAAAGAAAAATTAATTTCGATTTTTTCGTAATAAGCCCAGAAAAAGGATAAGCGAAATTGGGCGGAATGCCAGGATGCCAACCCCACTATCCGACCTCAACCGCTTTTAGCTGGTCTCATATGTTGTCTCTGTGCGCTTCTCTAAATCAATCTCGGGTTTGTAGTGAGAAAAATTAGTTGAAATATCGGAAACCCAACTTTACTGTGGTAAAATTACAATAATTTTTTTTGTCCAGGTTCTCTCTCCCACCATAGTTCTCATAGTCTTACTCTATTATTAATCATACTCTCTCTCTGCACAATGTTAGCAAAAGAAAAACTAAAATGGTAAGTGCCGATTTCAGGGTACCAAATCTTGAGATTCTTCGAGGAGCTAACCTAAATATACAAAAACACCTAGCTAACTACTCTACAAACCCTGTTCTCTCTAAAACCATTTTACGTCTGTTTCTTTTCATTCTCTTAAAACTTCTCATATAGCTAACCTACCTATACGTACAAAGATAGATAACTTCTATCTACAACCACGCTTTTACTTCGATTTATCGCCGGATCTCTCATAATAAAAAAATATAAAACTACTCTGGCCTTGGCACTTCTGTAGACACTATGTCTTACTATTTTCCTTCGACTGACTGCTTCTTCATCATACCAATTTCCTCCACGACCGACTCCTCCGAAGCTTTTACAGAGCCTTGCTACAACTCTTTTCTTTTCACATAGTTTCCAATTATGTCGACACGCGGGTAGACAATTTTACAGCTCTCACCGGCTCCCACGGTTCCAACAATTCCTTTCTCTTCTTCGAACTAGCATCTCTGGGCACGGTATTTTACTACAACCCGGTCTACCAAGTCTGATTTTAAACCCATCCTTATACCCGGTATGGTGTTTAGCATATTTCTACGCTTTCCTTGTCCCAGCGCTACTGGCGAGGATCGCGTGGGATCAAAATCGTACTTAATTATATTTATATGAGATTTTAAATAACATCACAATTAGCAACTCCTCACAATACTAATTACCGTACTGCGAACAATATAGGCCGCGCTGATACTAAATGTAAGCCTTTCATCTGGAGTGTGTTCTATGACTTTTGAATATGGGCTTGCATTTAAAATTGTTGTTTAAAATTTGAAATGTTGGGTAATGCCGTAGAAGGCGTATATAATGTCGCAATATACCAATGTGACCATTGAAAAATATTTGTATTGTACAAGTGGCGCAGTTTTGCCCCAATGTACTGCTTAATTACAAATTGCGCGATGTAAGTGTCGTATTACAAATAACAATCGAGCGTGATCTGGACTGGTAACAAACTCACTGGAATAAATCAGAGGCGGTGGAGCAAAAAATAAACTATATATACTCTATCAAAAAATGAATAAAAGAAAATTTAGTTAAATCCCCAAATCAGCACAACAGTCAGGAAACCGTTTGATAAAATCAGAAATCGCATTTTCGAAATCCTGAGATTTTATCAAAATTAATCCGGACATTCGGGAATAGGAAAATGAGTTGAAATTTCCGGATCGGGATTTTTCGAGATTCCAACTCTAATTTCAATGTCCGCATTTTTTGATCCAAACTTATGAATTTATATTTCTACATCCGTCATCTACGAATAAGAAACGTTATCACAGAGAATTTATAAACAAAGAGCCCAATCCGAAACATTTGAATTGATTTGCGGTACAATCGTATAGTTCACCATCCGATATTACTTGATTACTTGAAAATATAACCCCGTAACAGTAAAGAATTCGGAAAGTCATTTATAATGACCGAGAAGCCTAGTAGAGCCCATCGAGGTCTCCGGGTCTCCAAGTACCAGAAAATATCGTTGTTTATTTACATGCAATTTAGTTTTGTGTGACCATTCCTGAGTAACATACCTTAAGTAGGCATACCTTAAGCGTGTAAACTCAAACGTATTTTTGATCTTTTTTTTCTTTCCATTTTTTATGCTTCTTGCCTGAATCGAACCGGCAAATTGCGCACGTTATCGATTTTTTTTCTCGGTATTGTTTAAAACTTGTTAGCGAGAAAAGAAATGATTGAAGAAATTCTGGTATATATATTTTATTGTTTTATTTACAATTGAAAATAAATCGTGAAATATCGAATAAAACACAAACAACAGTAATATTGCGGTTTGTATCAAAAAATGACGTTTCCTAAGAAATATTTCACATTTCGATCAGAATACAATTCACATATTATCATTTTTTCTAAATGCTAACAAAATGTACATTTATCAAGACGATATTTTTTAATATTTTCTGTCCAAACATTTCATAGTAAACTATATAATATAGACTCAACATTGGTTCAAATCTCAGATGTGATATTTGTGCAAAACTGCCTATATAGGCTACTACTACTCAATATAGCCTACTAATTCAATTTAGTTTGCAATTGCCAAATTTGTGCGAATTATGTTGAGACTATTTCAGAAACAGCGTTCGAAATATATACAACTTTGTCGCATATCAAATCACTAATTTTTGATTATATATATAGAGTTTTTGACTAGCATTGAGTTCAATCTACTCAGTGATTCAAAACGCACTGCGACTTTGGTGTCGAACCAATCGTTCGTAATAAGCCCTCCAATAATCCTTAGTGTAAAGTCCTTCGTTCGAACCAGACATACATTTGTAGCTTGGTCGTTGTGCGTTTTTGCTTGGACTACAGTACAAGTATTTAGAATGTCCTGAAGAATAATACGTTTCACTAAATTTGTTTTTATTTGGCCGTATTGTTTTAGGAGCTTGGAGATAACCATCAGCAATGTTCCCATCGGACCACATGCACGCCTTGTTTGAATGTCGGCATCCAAACGACGGGCCGAGACGTTGGTGGGGCGAAAAATCGGTGTTATGGAGCACATTGTGAGATCCTGGTCCGGGAGTGACCATTTTATCGCCAGGAAGCTGTGTTCTACCCTTTATGCTATATGAAGGACCGGTTCGAGTGCCAATTGGAACGTTATAAGCTGCGGGTCCCGGTGTTCTTGCTAAATCTTGAGAGTAGCTACCGTGTCCTTCGCTATTTCCTTTCGCTCCCATGCTAAATTTAGGCGAACTTTTGTAATGTTTAGGCAGGCGCGACTTTATGTTGGAAATTTTTTCAGATTCCTGCTGTAGTCTCACGGTAGCACCTTTTATCCGAGGAAAAAACTTGACGCCATTTGACCCTTTTGATTTCTTGGTATTTGCAGCCATTTGACAAACTATTATTGCATATGTACCTGTGTCTAGCAATAACAATTTCTTTGTAATTGACTGAAAAGGAATTTTGAGAACATTAAACAAATATA